AAGCCAAGAGTTCTCCCAAAGGGCCCCTGTGAACTGCAGGCGTGGCCCCGAGCAGAAGGCAGAGGCCATTTGTCCCTCAGACCCTCGCCAGCCGCCCCCCCCCCCCCCCCCGCTGTGACCTGACAGAGGCCCACATCACCCGGTCTGAGAGGGCATGCACTCTCAGGAAACCTGGGGGGTGAGGGGGGGAGAGTTGGAGGCACGTTTCCGGCACAACTCTTGGAAAATTGACATGTAAAGAGGAGAGCCAGGCCCTATCACTCCGACAGGGGCTCCGCCTGTCAGAAAACCTGCTTCTGGTGGACTCCTGAGACGGCCCCAGCAGCCGACACTGCACTCTGTTCAAGATGCCAGGTAAGCTGGGAGGAGCTTGATCTGCCCCCATCCAAGTGAATACAAGTGAATTTTGCTTGGTAAAAAGCAATGAATGGCTTTAAAGTTTCCCAGCCAGAATCCAGGTAGTTTCCTCCAGAGCCCTTGTCAGCAACCACAGCCCTGTCCCCCTCCTTTTTCCATTCTTCTTTGTGGCCTAAGGTTGCATTTAGGAGGGTTGTTTGTGTGAGCCAGCCTCCCTCTCTCCACTCTCACCCCATCTCCCTGGATGCAGTTGCAGTTGGAAACCACACACACACAAACTCTTTTAAAATTTTCTGCTATTCTTCTGACTGGAAGAGCTGACAAGACATGGACACATTACGATGCATAAAGCACAGTGGACTGATCAGCCAAAATGCATCTCATTTGCGCTTGTATGTAGCCGGGCGTGGGCGTCTATGTCACTGGGGCCTCCCGCCTCTCTGCCATGCTGGGCTGACTGGCTGGAATTCCTGAGAAGGGCCCAGTGCAGGGGCCATATGCGAGGTTGAGGTCGCAGCCCAGCCCTAGTCCAGCACAAGCCAGCAGGGTGGGGTGTTGCGGGGCGGGGGGATCTGCAGGCCTGGCCAGCTTCGGCAGACTGCTTTGAGCAATGCAGGGAGCTAGCAGCCTGGCTGGGTGGGCAGGCAGCTGGATACCCAGGTTTACAGCAACTCTGAGGGGCCTTCCCCTGGGCTGAGTTAAAGACAGAGGACCATAACGTAGTTCCTGATGACATATTATACCCACTTCTAACCCCTCTCCCAAAGTTTTGTTCTCTTCCCCCAGGTGCCTGGTGGAGGGCCACCTCTGCCTACTGGGTTGCTCCACCTACTCCTAGTCCTGAACTATGACCCTAAGCTTCTCCTTCCCACAGAGGTCTGCACTGAGCCCTGCTCCTGGACCGGGGTTCCCAGACCAATGTCTCTCTCACCAACTGGAGAGGCTCATGGGAGCTGCAGCAGAGCCTTCGGGAACCCACTGGGCTGAGGGCGAAGTTAGGGGTCTCGGGGTGTTCTCCTTCACCACCACCCATCACGCTCCTGCCTGGGTCTCAAGTCTTCCTATTCCCAGGTGCTGGGGTACCAATTCCTACCCACCAGCTGGAGGTAGGGGCTATATTCAGGTTCTGGCCCACGGCCAGGAGACCGGGTGCTGAGTAGAGGGTCCAGAGGAACTGGGGTCCTCCAAGAGCCTCAGCAGTGCTGGAGGAAATGCCCTACTGGCTGCTGTGAGTGGCCAACAGCGCATCCTGGGGTCATCCTTTCCACAGTGTCCTGCTTGCTTTCCTTGCAAAGGTCATGGTGATGGCTTCCACCAGCTCCCCACTTCTCCAGGGGACTTCCTCTCGCCCAGCAGGCAGGCTTGTCGTCTGCTTTTGGGCCTGCATCTCCAGGCCAGATTCAGCCCACGACTTTCCCAGGACAACCAAGGGCAAGTATGCTGCTCAACAAGACCACCACCTCCCCGGGTGGCGCCTGGGGAACAGCCACTGACAAGGGCCTGAGGACCCAGACGCAGCCACCACCCACACCCAAGGTGGCCTGCAGGAGCGCTGGGCCGAGGCTGTGAGGCCAGGCAGCGAGCCCAGCACCATTGACAGCCCGGGCACGTCTATGCCACCCCAGGGAACAATCAACAGACTCTATGCCCTGAGAGCTGGTGACAGGCCTGTAAGGTGTGCAATCCTTTAAAGATCCTTGGTACTACTTTTGCATGAATCCTTTGTTATAGCTTTGTCAGCCTGCACGCCTTTAGCAGCTCCCCCTCCCAGGCCTCTCCCCCTCCTCATCTCCTTCCCACACCCCCAAAGCAGAAACTGCCCTGCTCCACATCCCCTCCTGCCAAGTGCTTGTGCCTGGGCATGCTCCCCCTTCGAGCTCGGGGCACATGAACAAGGGTTGCACTGCCTTCGCCATTTGGCGGGGTTCTCTGGGAAGAAAAGGCTTTCTGAATGTGACCCCGGGCGGCTGCAGCCAACTCCTGCTGCTGGTGAATGAGTAGCTCTCAGCCACAGGCAGTGACTGGGGTGGGCACAGCAGAGCACATGGGGAGGGGTAACCTGCCCTCGCACAGGAAGGCTTGCAGGATTCTGGCAGAAAGAGCAGGGTGAGGCTAACTCAGCTCTGAAGTCACCTGGTTCCCAGTGGCTACAGGGCAACCAGCTCCCACTGTTCTGGGGTGGCTTGTACCCCTTCCCAATTTAGGTCTGACTTCTCTACAGCCAACGTACAGCCCTGGGCAGATGTTTGAAGGAAGATGCCTGGCACACAGGAGGTGCAAGCGATGGCTGTCTCCATGCACATAAGCTTAACATGCATTGTCAGACCCAGCTACACACAGCTACACATCTCCCATTAGTTTTCTATTTAATTTGTCTCCATTCCCCCTTCCTCAGCCTTGCTGCCTGCACACAGTCATTTGGAGAAAGCTCCAGTGAGCAGCGCCCTGCAGAAGGCCTCTCTCTTATGTAACACACTCAGGCAGTCCTCAGTTACCATTTTGCTCCAAATCAGCTGACACAAGGGTTTCTGGCTGGGGTGGTCTGTGGGTATCAGGGTGTTACAAATGGGGTGCAGGCCTCATTCCCTGGGGGCTTTTATTTTCCTCCTTCAAGCCCCCATTCAAGAGCCAGGAATAAAGGGGATAGGTAACTGATCCATCTTTGGGTCTCCCTTCACTTCTACCCGCCTCCTGGGCAGCCCCTCTGCTTTGAAAAATCGGGGAAAGCTTGTGGGACCAGGTACACATGTAAATAGTGCTGACCTCGGCAGGCCCCTCCTCCTGAAAGGCAGGACGCCCATGTCAGGGGCAGGCTGTGCAGAGCCCTGGAGGGCTCACCTCTTCCATCCCCCAGACCTCCCTGCACAGAGCTAGTGTGATCTCCCAGGAAGGCTCCCTGCTCAGCATGCCTCTTGTTAAAAACATCCAGGACAACTAGGAAATACTTCTCAGGAGAGTTAATGCCTCTCTCAGGTTTGAAACACTCTTAAAGCCCAGAAGAAATCACCCAGGGAAGAAATCACCCAGGAGTACAAAGTCCAGTCAGTAGGATTGCCTAAGTAAGTGTGAAAGGTTCCTCCTCCAAAAGGTTAATTAAAAATAGCTGGTAGGTGGCACTTGGTCCACGATGGGTTTTTCCCTGTTGTAACTTACGCATTCTCAAGAACAAGCTAGGGAGACATTCATTTTCATTTTGTTAGTTCTCGGATGGTACTGTACTTTCTGATTAGACCTTTTTAATTTTTAAAACTCTGCTGGAGGGTTTTCAACTGTGAAAATGTAAATGAAAATAGACTCTCCCTTTGAGGCTCCTATAGGGTCGGTCAGAGTGAGTAAACCTGCCTGGCCCCCACTCACTTCTCCAAGTAGCCCTGTCTGAACTCAGGGAGAGTGATGGTGGCAGGTTTTGGCACCTTTAATGCTGGCACAAGGCGAGCTCTTTGAAATGAATATCTATCCTGGTGCAGTGTGCAGTGTTCCAGCCGACTAAATGGGCTTCCCTTCCGCCAGGAGGCAGTCCTGGGGGACAGAACGAATGTGATCTCCCAGGAAGCGTTTCCTCAGAACGTCCTCTGTGCTTTTGTGTTTGTATTAAAAAGATGCTTTTGCTTTCCTCTCATTCCTCCACCTCACTCTGTAGCTACAACAATGGACAGCAGTTACCGTCTGTGTGTGTCATTTGTAAACTCCTGTCATGTTGGGACTCACAAAGCCCAGACATACCTCAGGTGTGTCCTGTGCTTCTGCCGTTTACTCAAGGCTCAGCGGGTCCCCTGGAGACTCACAGTGGGGTCGGCCTTTCCCTCCGACAGGTCTCTCCCCACAGTGCCCCACTCCCAAGTGGCAGGGGGCGGGGGTTCCCTTGGAGAAAGCTCCCTGGATTACAGGAGGCCAGACTCAGGTTGTGCAGGTAAGCGATGCTGGCTTAGCCTGGCCACTAGCGAGCCGAGCCCAGGGCTCCTTCGGTCCCCCTGGTAGAACTCCTTACAGGACGGGAGGCCACAGCAACCTCTCCACGGACATTTTTGAAACTATGACACCTAAGCGAGTTTATGGGTAAAATTCTGGTGTAGCCCCAAACAACCCGGGTTATTTAAATTTGAGTTTTTTCCACATGTGCACATAGGCATATGCATAAACACACACCAACCAGTGGTAATTACCAGTGCATCCCCACTGGCCCGCTCTGGTAACAGCAACCACAACCAACAAACTTCTTTTCTGAAGAGTAAAAAGAGGGGGGGGAACCCTCCATATCTTGTGAATGGTCATCCCATACTGCTTAACACCGGGAGACAGCCACTGTCCAGACACGCTGCTCCTTTCCAGGAACAGGTAAAGCCACCCCTCCTCTTCTCCCCCAAGACCCAGCTATTTTTAAAAGCTAAAATTTCTCTTTCCAAAGGCAAGAGAAGGAATGAACTCCTTTAATGAGTTAGGTACTGGGAGCCTGGCTTGTCTAGGCCCCCTGTATTTGTAAATAAATGACTTCCTGTTTATTGCATGCATTTTTACTAAACAAACAACAGCAACCTGAACTCCAATGCCTCTGGAGGATTTAATCCAGCAAATACTCCGACGTATGGTTTGATTTCCAGTATTTTTGTTTTCTTTTGTGTGTACTCACTGGAGCCGGCGGAGGGTCATCGTCCTTGGGCGTCCAGGCTGACTGGGGAGGAGGCACCTCGCAAGTTCTCCTGTTGCCACAGGGTGCTGGCCGCCCAGCCGGGAGGCGCCCTGGCAATGCCACTGGCCTCAACCTGGGGCATCTCCGTTTTGCCCCGAATCTTTCTCACGCTGACCACGCTGACCACGGCTCCGTGCAGCTCCCACCGCGAGGCCGCGTGCGAGGATCCTGTTGGCACCGAACTGGGCTCACCCCGTGGCCGGCCCAGCCCACGCCCGCTGGGCACCTGGGCGGAGACAGGGCACGGGAGGTGCCCTGCGGCGGGCCCTGGCCATCACCCCAGGGTTCCATGGGAGCTCGAGTTTCCGT